AAGGAAGTCGTTGACTAGTTTTCCAGGGGAGGGGGGCAGTTATCCCAGAATCATAATTATGACAAATTGATATAAAAAAGATTCGCCTTTGAGGTTACATATTATATTACATGCCTGCATAATTTGTCGAGGAAGAAGTGATTAAATCTTCAACGTTTACATTCGTTTATCAATAATCATGTTCTTCTAGTGGATTTATTAATTTTCATAACTTTTCGAGACCAGAATGGAGGTAGCAAAGCTACGTTAATGATACTATCATCTTTATCCGTTCATTGTCTCGAACCTGGGGGATCCACAACCTACAAGCACTGCTTTTTAGTGGATTCCCCCCCCCCCCCCCCATTTCCTCAGAAATTAAGAAATTCTTGTAATAATTTTATTATGTGCAAAGTTTATTTGTATAGTTTCTTGAAAAAATGAATTATGTATGAAATCAAATGTAATATCTTTGTTTACCTTTCTGTTGGAAATAAAATAAATATGAATATGAATATGAATATGAATCAGTACACAGTATTTGTGAAGTGCAGTCTCGTCGTGCAGGCGCGGATCCAGGATTTCTTAGGGGGGGGGGGGCCAAATTTGAAATTATGCGAGCCAAATATTGCTCCGTAATGGTGACCAGCAGTGGCGTAATGAGCAATTTTTCTTTTTTTTTTTGGGGGGGGGGGCAGACAAAATCCGCATCACCCCACTCTTTCATGCACGCCCCTCTGAACGTTTTTCAAAGTGGGTGGGGGAGGCTAAAGTATTTACTATCAGGTAGAGCGTAGCATAATTGGCGCGGGGTCTAGGGGCAAAGCCCCGGAAGCTCAGGGGGTATGGGCACTTTATTACGGTCAGATGAGCATATTTTGATACCTTATTCGTGACACATGCAGGTCACTAGTTGGTAGGCGCGGATCCAGGATTTCTTAGGGAGGGGGCCCAAATTTGAAATTATGCGAGCCAAATATTGGCACGTAATGGTGACCAGCATTGACGTAATGGGGGGGGTGCAGAGAGGGGCGATTTCCCCCTCCCTCCTCCGCAAAGCGCCGAAACTTTTACGTTTCATTTAGATAAAGAAGACGATTTGTTGTACCGTTCTCGACTCTTAATCCTTCTCTGAATTCAGTTTTCCCCTCCCCCTCCCCCTCCCCCCCCCCCCCCCCCCCCTCCCGCGCGAAGCGCGAAAGCTTTGACATTTCATTTAATTATTAGCGAAACAAGACGATTCGTTGTACCGTTCTCGAAAATAATCCTCGTCTGATTTCTGTTTCCCTTCCCCTTTTACCTTTCATTAAATCATTAGGGAAAAAATGCGATTCGTTATACCCTTCTCGACTCTTAATCCTCGTCTGAATTCAGTTCCCCTCCCACTCCCGCGCGAAGCGCGGAAGATTTGACAGTTCATTTGATTATTAGAAAAACAAGACGATTCGTTGTACAGTTCTCGAAAATAATCCTCGTCTGAATTCAGTTCTCTCCCCTCCCGCGCGAAGCGCGGAAGCTTTTACATTTCTTTTGATCATTAGAGAAACAAGACGATTCGTTGTACCATTCTCGAAAATAATCCTCGTCTGAATTCATTTACCCCCCCCCCCTCCCGCGCGAAGCGCGAAAGCTTTTACTCTTCATTAAATCATTAGAGAAAGAAGACGATTCGTTGTACCGTTCTCGAAAATAATCCTCGTCTGAATTCAGTCCCCCCCCCCCCCCTCCGCGCGAAGCGCAGAAGCTTTTACGTTTCATTAAATCATAAGAGAAAAAAGGTGATTCGTTATTCCGTTCTCGACTCTTAATCCTCGTCTGAATTCAGTTCTCTCCCCTCCCGCGCGAAGCACGGAAGCTTTTACATTTCATTTGATTATTAGAGAAACAAGACGATTCGTTGTACCGTTCTCGAAAATAATCCTCGTCTGAATTCATTTACCCCCCCCCCCCCCTCCCGCGCGAAGCGCGGAAGCTTTTACTCTTCATTAAATCATTAGAGAAAGAAGACGATTCGTTGTACCGTTCTCGACTCTCAATCCTCATCTAAATTCGATCCCCCCTCCTTTTTACCTTTCATTAAATCAGATGAATATATTTTGATACCTTGTCCGCCCCGGGAAACTCAGGGGTTCAAGGCAATAAATTACAGTCAGATAAGCATTCAGGGGCCCTGGTGGGGTCGAGGGTGCGGAAACCCCGGAATCTCAGGTTTTTTTTATTACGGTCAGATGTACATATTTTTATACCTTATTTGTGACACTGGCAGGACACAGATTGGCGTGAGGTCCAGCGGGCGGAACCCCCGGAAGCTCAAGGGTTTTAAGCATTTAATTACGGTCAGATGAGTATCAAGGGGCCCGCCTTAGGGCCCTTTGTTGGGTCCCGCGGGCAGGAATTTGTCATTTTACAACAAACGCATAAAAAACATAATTTACAAAAAAAGGAGAAACATCTCTGAAATTATGTCATTTCAGCATTATGTTTAAACCACCGCTATGGAATTAAAAAAAAACCCGTTTAAATTGTATTTCCCCGAGCCTTTGATTGGTACGCCAGTGCCCCGCTCCCCCCCCCCCCCGATCTACACTTTGTTGACGGAAAATCGCAACTGATCTCCCCTACATACCTTTCTTCCTTCTCTTTTTTTTCTGTCCCTTTTTCTCCTCTTTCCCTTCCCTACCTTCTCTCTCTTTTAGGTTTGCTTGGGGGAGAGGCAAGGTCCTTTCGGCCCCCACCCTTCTCCACACCTTGTTGGCGGGATTAACCGCAAGTGATCTATTTCTCCTTCTTTTCACCCTTTTTTTTTCTTCTTCCTCTTTTTCAGTACCTTTTAGCTCTCCTTTTTTCCTTTTTAGCGGGGGCGGGGGAGGCAAGGGCCTTTTGCCCCAACCCCACCCCGGTCAACAACTGTCTTGTTTGCGGGAAAATTGCAACTGATACCCCCTTCTTTTCTTTTCTTCTTCCTCAATTTTCCTTCCCTTTATCTCCTCTTTTCCTTTTTTCTTTCCATTTCCTTCCTTCTCTCTTATCTTTTTTTTATGGGGGGAGGCAACAGCCTGGGAGGCGAGGCCCTTTCGCCCCCCCCCCCGATCTCCTTCTTCCCCCTTTTCTTTTCTTCTTCCTTTTCTTTCTTTATCTTTCTCTCCTCTTTCCTTTCTTTTCCTTCTCTCTCTCTCTCTCTCTCTCTCTCTCTCTCTCTCTCTCTCGTTTTCCTCCTTTTTTCCTTTTTTTCCCCTTTTTTTTTCCTCCTTTTTTTCCCCTTCCTTTTCCCCCCTTTTTTCCCCCTTCTTTCCCCCCTTTTTTCCCCTTTTTTTTCTTAGCGGGGGGGGGGGGGGGGCCCCCTGGTTGTGGTTAGCAAAACCCCGGAGCAGCAACGCAGATCGACTAATGAGATGCATGGGAATAATACTAATAGACTATAAGTTTATAGGAACTTGAGCAAAATAAATTCGCAATGGATGCCAATCTTCAGACGCAAGATAATGTTTCATCTTTATTCAGCGTTATAAACAAAGAAGTATAAACATTTAAACCCAGGTCCATGACACAATGTAGTATACAATACACAACTGTGTCACTGGCAGGGTATACAAGACAAGTACAACATGTACAACATAGGAAACATATAAAGCATAATTTTATATAGAAAATGGTTAACAACATAATGGAAAGAGAAGTACGAAGTTGAGATTCCTCAACGGTAATAGGCAATCCGATTCTATATCTTTGGCGATCTTAAATACCAGTATAAATAGTAAAAATGTAACCATGAATAAGTGCATTATGCTTGATTTTGCGACAATGCACTAGTTTCTCTGGCATGTATTTTATTACCATGATTTTTGATAATAATACTAGTTTGTTTTACGAATGTGGGTCATGATTATTTACACCATCATTTTGTGGCTTACTCGTTTTTATATATACTCGGATAAATATTATTTACACCGAACGTAAAATGATATACATGGAGTATTTAAATACTAAATGGTTTCTTAAATATAAACATTTTTAGATTTGTTCATAGTAAAATTGCATGATATATATGTTCATAACAGGTATTGCATCGTTGTAAACATCATTCGAGCATTGCCGTATTATAGTTAAACATATTTTGAAGAAAAATAATGAAATGAAAGTACCTCTTCTTCGTAGATGCACTGTTATTCCTCCTTGTAAGATTATTTGTATACAAAATGCAATGACCCTCTAAATAGGATGGGTTCTTCAACATGTTCAGGGGAGGGGGTGACTATTTAAGCACCTGGGAGTCAGGGACGGACATGTACCCCGTATCAGTCCACTAGTGGTTCATTTCTGAGCTTGTAGATTCCGTAAGATGTAACTAAGGCTAGTCGGCTATTAGCGTCTGACAGACATGCTTAATTTGTTTTGATACCATTATCAGTTTTAACATTCCTTTTAATGCTGCTCTATTTTCTTCAGAAATGTATCCCCTTGATCCAATTTCTACGCACCATATATAACCGGAGCAGCAACGCAGATCGACTAATGAGATGCATGGGAATAATACTAATAGACTATAAGTTTATAGGAACTTGAGCAAAATAAATTCGCAATGGATGCCAATCTTCAGACGCAAGGTTATAAATTTCGTTTAATTAGGTAGGCTACCTTTATTAATGTAATGCATTCTATTTAAGCGTTCGGTTAGTTTACGACGGTTCATTTTGGGGATTATGGCGGTATTTTTTGTTGATAAAATGATGTTCTTTGGCAAAGTTGATTAAATGACTCTTGCATTAAAAAGAATTTCAAACATGAGTGGAAAAGTCGAATTAAGATTTGAAAAGTTTGAAGGGTTAATAAGGCCCGAGTTATACAGACCCGTATAGTCAGTTATAATCTTCAAACTTTCTGTGGATTCAGAAAATGAGACACAGAGAAAGGGAAATAATTTAGATAGCCTAATAGGAAAAAAACATTATTCGGACACTAATCTGGAGAACTACAAGAATACGACAAAATCGGGAAATAAGGGAACACAAACAAGGAAAAGGTCAAAGTCAGCTAGAGGTGAATGATCTTTTTATTTTTTAAGTACACTGCGGAAAATAAAGTCTTACAGACACAGTTCCATACTTCCATTGTTTATTTTATTGCACAGATATAGAGTAGAATATAATTTTTCAGTCACTACACAAGATTACATGTTACAAACGCAATATATGCTAGGGAATATATCTAAATACTTCTGTCATCACTTCCATTTACTTGGATTACTCTTTGTACATCAAAAGATAATAATATATAGACCTTTAATTTGGATACCAATATTTTATCATCAATATTATCATGATAAATCATGGGGGAGATTACATTATGATTATATTCGTATTTCAGTACTAAATACAATCATATCCAAGACACAAATAGTAATTAATTATTGAGTGACGACCACACAGTCATGAGCAGTGAAGAGAGTATTCAGTCACATTACTGGTGATTACTAGCTGTCATTAAAGAAAGAAAAAAAGAATAACCGGGTCGTCACCAAATTGTATTATCCTAAAAAAGGATTGACCGACAGGTACAATCGTGTAACGTCTCAGTCAAAGTTTCTGAAACGATACTATGCAATAGTGATATTCTATCTTATATTTCTTTTACAATAAACACCAACATAATTATGCACATTATCTCAAGAATTTAATTTAGTAATGACACTAGAATATTTCTAAATGATATTTGACGAATGCACTGAGCTTTGGAAAAACAAACTTACGACCAGTAAGATTAAAATTCGTAGGCCTATACCACTTTTTTGACGTAAACACGTAAACTATGTGTAAACTAATTTAAATCATATTAGATCAAACGAATGAAAAATTGTGTCAACATTGCTAATGGTTATCATTAATGCATATAAAGAAAATGTTGCTCGATAACGGATGTAAAATTATAATCTACTGTAATGTATATATTTAAATTCAAGTGAGCGTCTGGGCAATGTTGACAACGGCTCAGTATGAAATTATTCGCGTTATGAAATAAGTTTTCTGTGGGGTCCCAACTAATAGAATTCAATTTGTTTGTACCGGAGTTCATAATTCAACTTTTTCTTTATGAAAACATTTTATCATATCTATTTTAACAGACTAATTACATGAATACAAACAAATATAACATTTCACTATTTGATAAAATCATAAATAATATAATTTACTATCATCGTATGTATGATATTCAACAAAGCGCACTAATTGTGATTGTCATAATTTATATTTCAAAATATAATGTCGGCCGAGTGCCGACATTCTGATTGTCTTTACGTCAACACGATCTCAAAGACTCAAGAAATCAACCCAAGAGTAGTTTCAAATCCAACTTTCTTAAATTTGTTTCGGATTACGTAATCCGTCACTGAAATGTTCGCACACTTCATTGAATGATGTAAATAGGCTAATGAAACTGCTGTAGGTAGATTTTATGAAAGTTTTTGCGATCGTGCTATCATTTTCCTTCTGTCCTATCTTTGGACCACTTGAAATAGTCATACATGTTCACATCGCCCAGTATGGATTTGAGCCCCGATTTCCCTTTCTTCCGCTTCACCTTCGGACATTTACCGCAGGTGCACACGTCCTTCTGACAAAAGTAGGAAAATGTGAACGGACGAGTCAAACGGTGGCTCAGATAGAAAGGGTCCTCCTGTATTGCCTTTGATCGTGCTACAGAGAGAGCTTTCACATATGCCGTTCCGTAGGGATCATCGTTGGGGTTCACACCACCGGAACCATGAGAACCTTTAGGTTGAGGGTGTTCTAGGTTACTCCCTGAAGCAGAACCTTGAGGGTCGTTGGACGGTGATTTGACATTCTTTTGCTTATCGACATCAGGTTCGTTGACTTGGTGGTCGTTATCATCAGGGCAAGGATCACCGTCAATGTTACAATCTGGGGTAGAAGAAGAGCTGGTGTCGCTTTCACGCGACGAGGGTTTCACAAATGACGACGCCGACGATGCTAGACTGTTGAAAGGCACATCGTCGTGTTCAAAGGTCCGCATGAACGGATTTGTCAAACTTTGATGCTTCCGTTTACGATGAAGAGTCTTGTTTTGCTTTTGCAGTGGTTCAAGGTCAATGTCGGTATCGTCCGTACGCCATCCTGTTGGTGAGAATACCTGAGAGATAGAACGAGGATTAAGTTTTCCTCCGGGATCTACGATACCGTGATTGTACTGGAGATGTGGCGGCCCCGTTGAACCTTCTGTGGTCATATCTAAAGATCCTGGTTCTCCGCGTCGCCGTCTTGGAAGGCGATACTCAACCTTAGACCCGCTTCCCTGCCTTGCTGATTGACCTATATCAGGAAGAGATTCGTATCTGGAGAGAGAATTCCCTCCACCATTGTTTGACTTCTTGGAAAGATCTACCCTCAAAGAACTTGGCACACTCTTTGACAAAGTTCTCTTTAAAGCAACAGTTCGTCGCCTGCTGTACGAATGTTGGCCACCGGAAGTCCGATCAGGGATATTCCGATTGCCACCTATTTGATCTTGAAAAGAGTGTGCCAAAGCAGCTACAGAGCTACCATCGTCACCATTCCCGAAGTGTCCATACTGATTCGAAACCAGGGGATTGTCTTGGTCGGTCTGTTTCCAGCCAGGTAAACGGACCAAGGGGTGGCCCAATGGAGGGACTCGGCTCGGTAAGGACTTCGCTGCCTGCAGCTCTCTATAGAATCGACTCTTGTAGAGGTCCTTTACGGGTATACTCTCTTGAGGCTATAATATGAAGAGAGCAAAAATAACCAGAGATTAATAACTTTTTAAAAAAATTGATTTGGAATCGATACGTGGTGAACGTTGATGTATTATATACAACAAAATATGGAAACAGTAAATAAATTTAACTCATTACAAATAGAAAAGACCTTGGTTTTTCATCAACCAATTTCCTGCACCTGCATATTTTTTCCAACTAAAACTGAGCGTGTTGAACAAACTAAAGCAAAGACCCATTTTACTACGTAATTGTATTAAGAAAGATATGAGTTTCCCTTTTTAACAAGATTATGCATCTAAACTTCAAACTAATGCATAATTAAGATATGAACTTGTTCATCACGTCACGACCAAATATGTGACCTAAACTCACCGTCAGATGAGACGCCATTATTGAAATATCTAAGTCCCCTGAATCCATGTGGACCATAAACGTTAACAAAATCGGTTTAGTTGTGTTTCGTAACCATAACGGTGAATTATGTGAAGTATGATCGTAGATATAGCTATTAACTTAAAGAGATCAAAGTCTAACAGCTATAATATAGTCATACTGATTAGTGTATTAGATAAGGGGGTGGAGGACAACACCCCCCCCCCTCCCACACGTATACTGAGAAAGACCTTTTTATCGAAATATTCAACATTTCGTGTGATTACTTATTTTAGCCTTTTCCTGGTTCCGCAGGTCAAATGTTCTCTTAGAATGTCGTTCCTCCAATTAGATTATGAAATTGAACTGGGGGCCTTGATTTAAAAAAGTTTGTCACGACTAATTTGATGATTTTTTTGTTAGCCTTATCCCGAAATTGAAAAAAACAACCCTGATGATCCTTGTGTACACTGTTGGCAAAGTTGATACGACCCCCCCCCCTTCCCGTTTAACATGGTTTAGCGAAACCTTCATATCAATGTTTCATACGAGAGAAGTATATCTCATGTATAAAACACTGTGCCCCATTGTAATATTTCATCATTGTGTCGAAGTGATTAAAAAAAAACCTCGGATAGAGTCAGTGCCATTGAATAGGAGAGTTTGGCCAACCGGTTAGAGGTGGGCACAATATTGCCGCTTATGGCGAATACTGCTTTGTTGGGCAAGAACAAAAACAAAAGAAGATACGCCATGTTGTATTTTAACCAACCAAAACCAAGTTTGCCAAACTCTGTGTATCGATGGCCGTGGATGTAGTTAATTATTACCGTCCCCATTCAAAGTCTTCAGTCAAGAAGGAGAAAATATATCATTGATTAACAGTAGATAATGTATTAAGTTGTTTGTATTTCAGTTCTGTAAATAGAATTAGTCATCTGGAGGTGTGAAATATTCAAACTGTTATTGTAACCATGTTTGCACATCGATGTTCATTTAAAGGTACATGTCCCATTTGCAGGCCAAAAATATGAAAAGGTTACATTCTAACGGCATTTGAAAGACAATACTAATTTAGAACTTCCCTAAACAAAAATTGGCTTGAAAATGTCTTCAAGCGAGAAAATATTGACAATTGGTTGTCGAATCGGCTTTAGTGATTTCAATCCATTTAGTAATATACCCATGTACTGAACGGTCGTACGTTTTGTGCTGCGCAAAGATTCAATCAGTTTAATTATGGCCATTACAAGAAATGGGTTATTGATGTAGACAAAATGCTCATTAACTTTTTTCAGCTCATTTTCTGTATGTTATTACCAAGGGGAAAAAAGGTCAGCCAGTCACTTATAGTGTCTGACAGTGAAGTCTAGAAAGTAAATGGGTTTCCTTGCATTTTTTTAATATTAGGACGTTTAAATTTCACCGGTAGGACATACGTGACATAATTATTTATAATATCCTGCAAAGTTCTATAGAATTTGATGTTGGCTGCAAATGGGACATAGTACCTTTAAAAGTATACGTCGAATGGAGTGGGATGCTCATCGTATGCCCAAGACTGACATTTTATTTCGCCTCGAGGGTGTCCTCCGAGATATTAAAATATGTAGTTGCTTTTGATGCCCATTTTATAAATGTTTTGATACAATAAATTTTGTAGCCAGTGGCGTGATATTAGTCCAGCTATTGATAGGGCACTTGACTGATGTGTGTATGTGTGTGATATGGGTGGGGGAGCCACAAGTTTTACTCGAAAAATGAAATGCGTATTTACAAGGACAGGGGTGCGGGATGGGTCCTCTCATCGTTTGTTTGTTTTTAGTCCTTTTCTCTCCCTTTCCTTTTACTTTTTTGCTTTGTACTCGATGTGGGAGGGGTGCACATGCCCCCGTGACCCCTACCCCTCTGGTTTTACTTACCGGGTATGCTACCTTGATTTGTCCCGATGCATTGAGTAATGCTGCTACACGCCTCTGCTCATGGCGGACCTCGCTCAGATTCACAGGTCCACTTCTGAAGCGTGGTGATGATGAGGCAGCCATGGGACCTACGGCTCATTCTTCTTCACGCAGTGACCCATCATCAAAATCTGGAGTTCCACGACAAAAAGATAATAACAGAGAGACAACACCAGATGAGAAAATAAATTGACTTCTAGATAATATTGAACCGAAAGACTTAGAGCGTATCAGTCAAATAACTACTTTTTCATAATTTATTTGGAAAGTCGACCTAATGTGGTTGAATAGCGTACGAATTTATTTCAAAGTGTTCGAGAAAAAACAAACAGTATGGGTAAAATTAGCAATTGACAAAAGATCGATTGACTGGGGGCTATCGGAAGTTACAGAAAGGAGAGAGAGAGGGGGGGGAGAGAGAGGGGGGGGGGTGGTCAAAAAGAAATGGAGAAAAAAAGGAAAGGGAGAGAGAGATGTGAGAAAGAAATGGAGAGAGGAGCAGAGAGAGAGACAGAGAGAGGCAGAGAGATAGACAGACACAGAGAGAGATAGATGACAGGGAGATGAGAAAGAAATGGAGAGAGAAGCAGAGAGACTGAGAGAGTAACAAAGAAAGGAAACTAGAGGCATAGGAAAAAGAGAGGGGAGAGAGAGGGCTTTGAGTATGAGAGCTATTACATCAACAAAACAAAACATCATCAAGATTTCTGGCAAATAACATGGAATCAATATTTCTGAACATGACGATATAATACCCTTTATGAGCCGAGGCGGGGCCGAGGCACCTCAATATGCCCTGGGGGCACCGACCAGGGATACAAAAGAAGTGCATTCCATGTTGCTGTGTAGATGTTGTTCATCATTATCATCGTTCAACATACTGTTAAATGCGATGACGCAAAAGGATCTTAAACGACAATACTATAGTAATCAATAATTTTCTGTATTGGACAAAACAACCTCAAATCGGTTGCAGATACGTCTTGAAATCGAAGAAACATGATTGAGTGGTAAACAGAGGTTTTACATTATTGATTGACCAAGGAGCTAGTAACTCCTTGGTCTGACAAAATGTATTCTCACACTAACCAGAGAACGTGTTGTAAAAATGAAGACAAATTATTGTCCTCGATAAAATGGTAACGAAACAATTTAGCATATATACTAATGTAAGTAAGCTATGAGGATTTTCTAATATAAAGGAAATATGGAGAGTTACGAAAGATTACAGAAGGAGGATTTTTTTGTTGTATTTGTTCAAAAAATATTATGTATCATCGACTTGGCACTGCAAATCACGCAGAATTGGCAGTTATTTCTTGACAGCTTGGTTACCAGTATTAATTTGTTTTCCTCGAGAATACGATCATAGCAAACACATATGGAGTATCTGGATCCACTAATAAACTAGTATGCTTTTACCAATTTACAAAGTCAATCAAAATATCATATATTTGTATATGATAGCATATCTGGATTTTTAAACAATTGTTTTATAATTTAAAGAAATAAAAGTAAGTCAGAGAAGCATGATCACCATTGATGTTTGATCCTTTTTAGTATTTCTGGCTAATGTTTCCAAATGACCAAACATACATAATGCTTGGTGAGGCCATAATGGGTGGTGGCTGGAAAAGTTGCAAGTCTTCTTTTTGTTATGCAAAGTAGGTATAAAGCTATCAAATAAGACATGGGCGACCGAGGTTTAATCCCGTGATAACTTTCCTGTAGGCGCTCTCAAAAGACTTTCACTGAATAGCCTTCGACTTTCGTCTCCTGTGTACCGCTAGGGTGGGTTGCGTTTTGTTTAAACATGGGCTTTTCTTGTATCGAATTCTTACAAGTGCTCTGGAGGGTATAAAGAGTATTTGCTCGGTAAACCCGTTCTCGTGTAAGTGAGTGTTACCTTTTATTTACGAGTCAATGGGAGACCTCGAAACCGTTAATGGGAAAGATTGTCACAACAGCTTGACAGAAACTGAAAGTATCTTGTTCGGCGAGGCAATAATATGAGATCATTTATAATACTACAGCTAAATTTAAAAAGTATTAACAGACGCCATAATCATTTGTATTACTCTTTATTGTAATTTCCAGTAGTATGGACGGTTTCATAATCTGTTATCTTTATTCAATTTTTCGCTATGTGTTTCCTTTCATGATTGCGGAAAAGCACACTCGCTGATATTAATTTTTTCAAACAAATTTAATAGACAACAAATAATAATGCATTATTCAGACAATGCATTATTATCTGCGCTAGTTGTAGTTATTATATATACCTGTTTGATTGTATTTGATTAAGCATACAGCTGATAAGGGTTGCTCTAAAGCTAAACTATGCCAGATAAGGCAATTAAAAAAAAACACTTTAGGAGTATTTTGTTATCATTAAGTATATTTATATAGTTTTTATAGTTGACCAATTTATAATACCGCTAATATATTGTTTCAATAGATTGAACTCGAACGCGCATCATTACCGGTGATTTAAAACACTTACGAAAGACCAACTGGTTGAATACATTGGACCATTAAAATCTTAATGAGAAGAAAGAACACACAATTAAGGACAACGAATAAAGTTCATCAGACAATATTAAAGCTGTAAAAGCATCAGACCTTCAGAAATAACTAGATATGATTCTGGCAGGGGCGGCGATTTCTTTTCATTACCAGGAGGGGGACGAAAAGCGAGGGACGGGGGAGCATAGTGAATGAGAGGGACGAAGATGACGGAAGGATATTATGCGAGGGAGCGAAAAGGGAGCGAAAAGATTTTTGCATTTTTATTAGTCTAAACGCTAAACTTTTGAGCCCTCCAGAGTATTTGCTATACATTTTATTTTTGCACTTTTTCAAATTTTCCGGGGAGGACGATCCCCCCTAACAAAAAATGAGGGGGGAGGGGGACGTGTTCCCCCGCCCTCGGGATCGCTGCCCCTGGATTCTGGTGTGGTTATTTGCAATGCAAATAGCTTCTGACTAAACGGACTTCAGCGGTGCACCATTTATTTTTATGTATTACTTTTATTGTTTATTTATTTGATTTTTAATAAATTCGCAAAGATTTCAATACACAGTTTTATAATTAAATGTACGCAATTCATGGGCATTTCTTTTCTGTTGGGGACTTCGACTAAAGTTTTTTTTTGGTAATAGATCAAATTCGACGAGGAATCGTACGAAGAATGTGATACAATTAGTTTGTGCTTGCAAACGCAAATAAAAAAAGATGAATGAATAAATAAATAAATCAATAAACAAATAAATCAACGAATCAATAAAAAGATAAGTAAAATAATAAGTAAAATGACAAAAGAAATTAAAAAAAAAACATTAGGAGAATATAGCGCTTATCGATGGCGTATATCTAGCCGGTGATCAATACCATTCAACCCCCCCCCTTTTTTTTTTAAATTCAATTTCTGGATACGCCGCTCGGGACGCCACTATGGTAGTTTTTAATGAGTAACGGTCAGTGATCTTACAAAGCTTAATCGTGTTACACAATTTAATTCATCCATGACGATGAGAAAATTATTAAAGCTCCATTCTATCACTGGCAAACATGGTATTCATTCTGTAAGGTACATCGTTGATAGAAAACCTTCAAATCAACACTAAGTCAACTTGATGGGGTTTCTTTGTTAGAGTGAGGTAAATATTGAGATCAAGTTTTCTTGTCGGCTTGACAGTAAAGTTGCCTGTCGTCAGAAAAGTGGTCTATCGCCTGACTTATATATGCCTAAACTTTTATAACGATAGCTTGGACTACGATCAGTGGCGTACCTGGGGTACTCCGTCAGGGGGGGCAAGCGACCGAAACAAACAAAAAAGGCGATGCTAATTTTCACTTCTGGCGAGCGAGCGAGCAAAAAAAATCTTTAAGTAACGTATGGTATATAAACTGGTATTGTTGCAAGTTGGGGTGGGAACAGTCTTGTTAGCGACGTTAATTTCATTTTTTTGCAAACGAGCGTAGCGAGCAAGAAAAAAATCACTCCTTTTTTAATAATTGCCACTTAAACTTGGTTCAATTGTCCCATGCAGGGTGCGGGAACAATTGTGTTTAGGGTGATTTCATACCCATTTTAGCTAGCGAGCCTAAATACATCTTTCTCTCAATGAATTGCTATATAAATTTTGTTTCATTGTTGCAGGTCGGGGGCGGGCACAATCGTGTTTAAGGCAATGTCAATCCCATTTTGGCGGGCAGGCAACCCCCTACATTTCTCTTTTTAATGATATTGTAGCAGGTTAGTGGTGGGCACATGATTCCACGAGCTAGCGAGCGTAGCGAGCGAGCGAAAAAAAAATCACTTCTCGTTTATAGGGAAAATATGGTACATAAAACTTAGGTTCATTGTTCCATGTCAGGGACGTGATTATTAAAAGCGGTGTTATTTCTATTTTGGCGAGCGAGCGTAGCGAGCGAGCAAAAAAATCACTTCTCTTTTGTAGGGAAAATATGGTACATAAACTTGGGTTCATTGTTCCATGTCAGGGACGTGATTATTAAAAGCGGTGTTATTGCTATTTTGGCGAGCGAGCGAGCAAAAAAGTCACTTCTCTTTTATAGGGAAAATATAGTACATAAACTTGGGTTCATTGTTCCATGTCAGGGACGTGATTATTAAAAGCGGTGTTATTTCTATTTTGGCGAGCGAGCGTAGCGAGCGAGCAAAAAAAATCACTTCTCTTTTATAGGGAAAATATGGTACATAAACTTTGGTTCATTGTTCCATGTCACGGACGTGATTATTAAAAGCGGTGTTATTTCTATTTTGGCGAGCGAGCGTAGCGAGCGAGCAAAATTTTTGTAATGATAATTGGTTCATAAATTTCAGATTTTTTGTTGTTGCAGGGCAGGGCTTACACAATCATGTCTAAGGTGATGTTAATTCCGTTTTGGCGAGCACGAGCACACCAAAACTTCTTTGAATAACGTTTGGTACATAATTATTAACTGGTTGTTGCAGGTTGGGGCGGGCACGTTAGCGGTGTCAATTCCATTTTGGCGAGCGAGCATAGCGAGCACGCAAAAAAAAAATTCTCTTTTAATAGAAATTAATAAATAAACTAGTTTTTATTGGTGCAGGTCAGAATGGACGCAATCGTGTTT